AGCTACTTACTTCACAAGTAAGAAATGCCACATGTGATGATCTATCCGTAATAACGATATCCGTATCTCGTTATTACTTACGACCACGGATGATTTAAGATTCAATCAGATGTAATTTGTATCTCACAATCACAACTCCTTGTGATTAACAAATTACAAATATTTGAATCTACGGACTCTATTATTTATTTAATTGTCTATTAATTTAATAATAGATCTGACATTTAATTGCATTAATTATATATAAAAGTATTTATGTCCAAAGTTGATTAGACCTAAGGCATAATACTTACAGCAAGAACTTCTTATTCATCTAATTAAGATTAAAGAAGCAATTGATCGTTGTATATATCATTAGAAGTGGAAACATATTTTGATTTTACTTCTTAGAGATAAGATTGGAGAATGATAGAGGTGGAAGAAAAGTTGAATTTTATCTCCTTAAAGCATAACTCGTAATTATCAAACTATTCTTCGCTGCTAAGAAGAAAATTTAAACAAGTAAATCTACTGATTCAATGAAAGAAAGTCAATTGGTTGATCAAGTTCATGTTTGATTTTTCAACTTCTAAATGAGAAATTCAAGTTGTATTCATCAAATGATAAATCGCCTTACAAAATATACAAATAGGCTTTAGAATGTGTTCATTTTATGCCTAGGTTCAATGAGTGTGTGCCAAAAACAATTGAGCACTAAATGAAGATTTGTGAAAGATGGAGTTTATTATTTAAAGAGATAAAGAGTTTGAAATACTTTGTAGATCCTATTTGAAATTTATATTGTGATCCTTTGTTTCTAATTCATAGTAAAGTCTCATTATTTATTGAGTGAAATCTTTGTCCAAGTTTTACTATTTTTCATTATCCTGGGCAAATCTTTCTGAACAATTGGTATCAGAGCACCAGGTTACAGCAAAATTGGTGGAACCTGTGAACTAATTAACAGTAGTTGTGTTCAACAGTAGCTGAGGTGCTACAATATCAACGATGGCAGGAGACGAAAAAGCTAAGATCGAAAAATCCTACGAATTGAACTTTGGATTATGGAAGATGTAGATAGAATATTATCTTTACCAGAAGGATCTTTACCTTCCTCTTGAAAGAGTGTCAAAGAAGCCGGTGGGTATTAAAAAGGAAGAGTGGGAGTTACTCGATCACAAACCCTTGGGTACGATAAGGCTAACTCTTGCTGCATTTGTTGCTTTCAATATCAGAAACAGAAAGCCAACTGAAAGTTGGATGGCGGCTTTATCGCGAATGTATCAAAAGCCCTCTGTAACAAATAAAGTTCATCTTATCAGAAAACTGTCCAACTTGAAGGGGTCTGATGGAGGAGATACAATAGAGCACATCAATGATTTTAATTCAATTATAAGTCAATTAGAATTAGTTGATATCCCATCTGACGACGAGTTCAAATCACTGACACTATTATCAAGTCATCAAGAGAGCTGAAATCCTTTGGTTGTGGCAATAACAATTCCACGGGGTCTGCAAAGTTGAAACTAGATCGTGTTGTAGATTTGGTTCTTTGCGAAAATACTCGCAGAAAAGATGGTGGAGAAACCTGGGGTTTGACATTGGTAGCTGATGATAGAGATAGGAATCCAAACAGAGGCGGCAACCAGATGGGAAACACAAGTCCATCGAGAAATGGTCAATCATTATCTCGACCAAAGTTCAAAGGCAAGTACTACAACTGCAAAAAAAAGTAGTCACACTGAGCAAGATTGCATATTACCAAAGAAGCAAAAAAAACAACCAATGAGACGAAAACTTTTTTAATGTTTCGGATGTTGAAATTTCTAATGCATTTTTGTTTGTTGTGGATACTCATGGAGAAACATGGGTAATTGATTCGGGTGCGCATTTCATGCTACTTTGCGCAAAGAGTTGCTCTATAACTATGTACCAAGCAACCTTAGTAAGGGATATCTTCGAAACGGTGAGATTTACAACATAGTTAGCAAAGGTGATGTTCAGATTAATCAATCTAATAAAACTGTTCTAAGAATCAAGGATGTAAGACATGTGCCATGCTTACAAAAGAATCTAATTTCTATAGGTCAACTTATTGACTCCAATATTACAACCTCATTTGTTGGTAACACTTGGAAGATGACCAAAAGAGCTACAGTGGGAGCTTATGGCAAAAAGTAAGGTACTCTCTATGTTACTTCTAGTACTCATAGTTCCATTGCCCATCACATAATCAAAAGTTGAGGCGAGCACGTGGCATTCCAGACTTGGATATATGGGCTAGAAAAGGGACAAAAGTTCGATGTCAAAAGGGAAACTATTAGGTTTGAAGTCTCTAGACTTGGATTTCTGTGAAGATTGCATCTTCCAAAAGTAGAAAAGGGTTAGTATCACAAAAGTTCAAAGAATACGCAAGTTAGAATGGTTGGAGTTGGTATATACAGACGTATGGGGACCATATCAGGTAGCATCTCTTGGTGGCTCTCACAACTTTGTTACTTTTATTGATGATGCTACTAGAAATGTCTAGGTTTACTTTATAAAGAACAAATTTGATTTATTTGATGTCATCAAAAAATGAAAAGTCCTAGTTGAGAACGAGACAGGTTTAAAGTTGAAATGTCCCAAGTCGAACAATGGACTAGAGTATGTAGATGGTCGAATGAAGAAATATAGTGTAGAAAATGGAATTTGATAAGTGCTGACAATTCTAAGAAAAAGGCGACAAAACGGCGTTGGAGAACACATTAACAGAACAATCGTGGAACGTGCTAGAAGTATGAAAATTAATTCTGGTTCACTATAGTAGTTTTGGGCATATGCAATAAACACAACTACTTACATGATCAATAGAGTTCTTTAGTTTCCTTAAAATGAGGAATTTGAGAGTAGGCGTGGATGAGAAAAGAGGTGAACCTAATGCATTTAAGAATATTTGCTTGCATCTCTTATGTCCACATTGAGCCTGAGAATCGGAGTAAGCTTGATTCTACGTCTTGGAATTTTCTTTATTGGTGATGGCATCGATAATTATGGTTATCGATTTTGGGATTTTGAAAATCGAAAAATAATTAGGAGTATGGATGTGTTATTTAATGAATCTACATGTACAAGGATAGACTTGATGATAAGACTAAGGAAACTAAGACAGTGGAGCTTAAGGAAATCTCGAAAAGAGATGTGTTAAAACCCCAAGATACGAATGTCCAGTTGACAATACCTACAGAGATGCCAACCTTTCCAATGAGTAGGTCTACAAGAACTATTAGGCCTATGATTCACTATTTGCCTTCCTTGCATCATTTATTGCTGACTAACAATGGTAGACCTAAATGTTATGAGGAAGCATTACATGTTGAGATGAGGGAAAAGTGGGAACTGGAAATGAATTATGAGACGGAATCTCTCTTGACGAATTAGATGTTAGAACTAGTTCTATTGCTTGATGGAAAATTTGTTTATACAATAAGTGGGTTTATCATTTTAAAGAAGAAACCGATGGCACCAAAGATACAAGGCCAAGTTGGTTGTAGAAGGTTTTCAACAGAAGGCATGTATTGATAGATTTTCTCTCCTATTGTTAAAATTTCTACTATCAGAAGTATGCTTAGCATTGTAGCTGCTGAGGATTTATATTTGGAGTAGTTAGATGTTAAAACTACATTCCTTCATAGTGATTTGGAGGAGGATATTTATATGCATCAACCGTAGGGCTATGTGGCTATAGGAAATAAGAGTATCGTGTGTGTAAACTCAAAAATAGTTTATATGGGCTAAAACAAGCGCCCAAGCAGTGGTATAAGAAACTTAATGATTGAATATTTTGATTGAACACGTGAGAACTTCTTACCCATTTATCTGAGAAATTTTTAGAGGATAGCATCTATTGCTTTTAGTACGTAATGATGGAGGAAGAGTACTCTCTGTTCGAGTAGGCGTGGGGTGGGGATGGGGTAGGGGTGTTAGGACTAATGATGGAACGAAGGTAGTAATTATTGAGTACTAGGGTTTTATTTTGTAATATCAACCTTATTAAGAGAAGTAATTACATCTTTATATGCTAATTATTGTTTTTATATTTAAGCAACGTGAAATTTTACGCTTAACATGCTCCTATAAGATGACTTGCCCGTTTGAATATTTAGATGAATCAAATTACTTTTTTAAACTTATTATGGAGTACTTAAAGGATTATTATTTTCAATATCTAATCGATATTAAGGTGATAACAAACAATATGCTTCAGTTATAAATGATTGTGATTTTTTGCTCCTTATAGATTAGGCATGTAAATTGAGAGAAACTATCACTGACCAGAATACTCATACAACAACTAAATTGAGGATTAAAATGCTCTCATTTAAAAGATTTTGGACTAGTTTGCTATGTGGGTAATTGGTTGGGGACTTATGCTCCTTTTTTCGACATCTTCTTTTTGGTTTCAAAAATTGTACTCTTCAAAGGTTCAATAAGCTAAAGTACAATTATATATTCGGTTTCTTAGTGATTCAGATGATGCTACTATAAGAACGAAAGTCGGATATATTATAACGAGCAACAATGGCTGAGTTTATTAATAATTATGTTTGAGTAATTACATAATTGCAATTGTTACCTTTTATGTTTAGGTAACTTTAACTTAGGTGCACATCATTGGTCCTCGCTAATTATAAACATCAATTTTTCCATCAAAACAGTCGTATATTTTGCACGTGATGATTAATAGTAGATAATCCTCTCTATCTTACTCAAATACGATTAAAAATAGAAAAATACTCTAAAGCCTAAAGGTCAACAATCCATTTTTCTTTTTCAATTGTTTGAAATGGAGTACAAAGTGACAGTTTAATTGAAAAGGTGGCAATTTCCATCTAATGAGGGCCAATTTGCACCAAAAATACAAGTTTGGAAACCTAAAAGCCAGAAAAATTTGATCAAGAACCCGTGAGCTTTATTCATGAAAATTTAGGCACAGCGGTTGCAAGTTTCCCTTAGTTAAATCAATATTTACTCTTGGAAGATGCATCAAAATAATCTAATATATCGAATGTGTTTGACGCATAGTAATAAACTTTCTTTTTCTTCTTTAATATCTTACAAACAAATCTTTAATCTATTGTATTAGTGAAGCCAGCATTCGTAAGAGACCAAATAAAAAATGTAGATAAACACGGTTCATCTAGAAGCTCCTATATATTCTATATGTCCACTCTTTACCTTAGTCCACACAAAATCTCCAATTATAGAAGTATACTTTAAACAATAATTTGGTCCCTCTTCTCATACAATGACAAGATCTTTTCCTTTAATATTTCGACGTCAATGGCTTGACTTCCTTGTACCTGTTGAATCCAAACCAACAAGAAGATAGAAATATTAGAGATTATACAGATAAATGAAGTGGGTGAATGTTACTTTCTTGGTCTTTTTGGGGTAGGGTTTATAAACTTTGAGAGTTTGTGGGCTATTTTTTTTCTTTATTTATCAAAAAAGCCAACGTGCTGTACCTTGTCGATAGAGCTAAAAAAGGAAGGAAAAAAATTTAAAATTTTGTTTATTGTAGTGCACAGTTCTCTTCAAACCTCATATATAAATGGCTGATTAAAGAATCGTTGTCATGGTTCAACCCAATTCTACCTCTATCTTCTTTCAGTATCTAAGGCACCAAACTATGCCTTAATTTCGTTCTAAAATTTAAATCAATGGCATGAATTTTCTACTCCATTCAATCAATCACTATGAAGATCAAATGATATCTTATATACTCGAGCTTTAGAAAATATTATAAGTACCTGAAGATGCAAATTGTAGAAAACCCTTCCATCGAAAGATTCAAAACTAGATGCGTTCAATACGAGAATTCCTTCCTGCTCCAGTTCCAATAGAGCTTCAGAGAACGAACCCTTTTTGGTCTTCATCTTCGATAATTGAATCACTACATCTCTATCACCTATTCGATTAGCTGAAACGGCTAGTATTGAGCTCTGATGATCCGCTGTTCTTCTTTGCTTCCTATGTTGAATAGAATTTTCTTGCTTGGAAATCTTCGCTACAAGGTTTTCCTTTTTTTCGAGTAGTCTTTCGACTTCTTTCTGCAGCTCTGGTATGTATTTCAGCACTCGGGACACTGTCGAAGGGATGCTTAATTTCTTCTGCAAAGAAAATTTTATTCAATAGTTAATTAAATCTATATATTTATATAGATTCACAATCTATATATTTATATTAGTCCTTTGTAAGTGTATATAACATAATTTGTTATTTGTTGATAGCATCCAAAATTAAAATATACACAATCTGATACCTAATTCCCTAACCGTAATTAGTTTATAAAATGTATTTCTTGAAAGAAAAATGCTGAAAGATCTAAAATAATGACCTAATTTTTCAAGCCATCTCTCTAAATGATTAAAATTTCAAATGATGTCGTATCAGAAAATTTTCTTGGGTTCGAGTCTCATCATTACTCAATTATGAAAATTATGCATGGGTAATGAATAATTAATCTCAGTATCTTTTTCTAAAACCTTAAGCTCTTGGCCGAGTTAGCTCAAATAAATTAGTTTAAAAAACACAGATGTTACCCTTTGATCTGCGACCGGAAGCAGTGACCGAAGAGTAGAATACTGCGTATTAATTCTTTTCCGGCGATCACGTTCGCTTGCATTATGGTTGAGCTTCTTTACCATCTTCAAATCTCCATCAAAATACAAAGATTCAGTACTGTTTCCAGCTTGTATCTGAGATGAAGGACAATGAAGAATATCAATGGAGTCTGACGTTTCTATTCTTTCTCTATACAAAATTTCCTGTTCATGGCTCATTGGGTCCTCCAAAAGCGACCCGAAATTCGATAAGTAAGGGCACATTTTCAGCAGTTTTGAGTCACAAATTTGGATTGGAACTTGGGACTTTGTTTGATAATTAAATGCAGTTTATTAGCTAATCATAATTCATAAGGAGTATTTACATATACTAACTAGATAGTTGATCTCATCGTGTACATCAGCATACATATAAAACATAAATTGTATATTTTTTATTTCTTTATTTCTTTGACAAGAGGCCATCAGCATCAACTAATTGCAATATAAATAGATTTTTAATTTTTTTTGTTCTGTAAATAGAAAATATTTCCTGGATAGTATATAAATGAGGAATTTAGTATCAAACAAAATTTTTTATATAAGTTTTGTTTTCTCTTTTATCGTTTTCTTTGCAAAAAATACTTTTTTAAATGAACATGATAATATGTGCATGGCTATTGAATACTAATTCTGTAATTTCTGCAGCCCTAAAAATGTTGAAAACATAATTAATAAGCTATTATTACTCAATCAAGAAATAAAGAAAAGTTAAAATCTTATTTCTAATGTGTATCTTGTTGAACCTGAGTTGAGAAAAACCTAGGTTTCGATAAGTTAAAGTCTTATTTATCTATATAGCATGATTAAGTTTAAACATCTTAATACTGAAAGCATCTTGATGTATTAGAATCAACACAACTCGATTAAACAAAATAATATTATAAAAGTAAACGATCACAAACCCGGAGAAATTTCAAAGGAGAAAAGGTCAGACCATCTCATTAATTAAATTTAAACTTAATTATGAAATTCAAACACCTCCATATACAATCAATTGCAACCCCATAGGCCAATATAGATTTAGCTATTTTTCAATAAATTATTCTTGAAAGACATTGATGACAGCTGAGGTTATTCTTTTTTCCTATCAGGAAATAATTAATCAATTATTTGTTTAAGAACACACGCAGACTGCAAGGAAACCCCGTGATAAATATAATTTACTGATGAACTAATTTAATAATAAGATTTTAATATAAGGCATGCACGAGCTCAAGTTAGTTTTGTCACACATTTGCTCGAGCAAAGTGTTACCAAGTCACGTGAAAACACGCATTTTTTAGCTTATAAGCAAGCTACACGTCAGTCATTGGAATATATATTTTACAATATAAAATTGAATAAAAAAAAAATTTCTCTTCATTTGGCAAAGTTTATAAATAATTTATAAGTGTTCAAATTTTATATTCAATCATACATTTTAATGAACTCACACATACTGTCCATTTATCCTTCTTTCATTTTTTTTTTTTTTATTATTTATAAATTCTTCCCAAACCAAAATGTGTGCATATACACTATGATAATAATATGATACTAGGTATTTAAGTAGTTTTCATCAAATAGTCATACTTTACTTTGAACAAGGTTTATGTACAAAATTTTTCGAGTGTGTTCGACATTAACATTAAAATGCAAAATCGAAAATAAAAATATAGAATTATCTATTATTCGTATGATATTCTCTTGTTAATAGATTTGGGATACATTCTTGGGGTCACGGCACTCTATGTCAAGTGGATCATTATGTTTTAATATTGTGTAAATTGAATTGGATCACTATATTTTAATCAATTTTATGTCTAAAACACTTACGTCACTTTTTATCTACATATTTCTAAGAATTCACAAATATTAATCACTTATTCACCACTCAAGTTATTAACTTAGGTAACTCCATTCAAGTCCGTCACATAGACTAATTTCACATACTAACGTTAAGGTCATTTAACATGGTCGTAAAAAATGATCGAAAAAAATTAATTCGATTAAAAAATCTATAATTTAATTTGTTTTTGGTCCACAAGTTTAATGTGCAAAACAAAGAATAGGGGTGGAGAGAATTTAGCCGAGTGTTATCAATGGGAAACGAAAGTAAAAGTATACTTATTACTTGAAGTTGTTTAATGACAAATTGTTGAAAAAAATAGTAAATAGCTCACTTTTAGCAATATTTTCGGTGGGACTCGTTGGTTCAATTTGGAATATCAAAGTTGATCCGTATTTTCCTCTGTAAGAACATCAAAATCATAAATAAAGTTGAGGTGAATGAAAAATTGGAGCTCAAAGATGACCATTGAAAGATGGTTTAAGTGGGAAAATTGCATTAATCCAACATAGGAAAAATATGAAAACAAGAACCACTTTAAATATGGTTGCACAATGGAAGGGTGTAATCATGTGTAGCATAGAGGCTCTCTCCACGTGCGCGCACGGACCAAAATTGCATTCGGACCTTGAATTTGTGTGCGAGTGCGACCTGCATATATGAATATCGAACCAAACGAAGCAAAAATTGGCCCGTTTGGAGTGTCCACGTTTTGTAATTTTTTTACTTTCTCCAACTGACTTTTGAGTTTTCAAAAACTGTCAAAACTCCAACAGAAACTGAAGTGGCTCCAATGTTTATTGCTAGAGTTAATGGCACATGGCGGATTTATTTTATATATTAAATCTCATAATTTTTTCGGCAATTCCAGCATACTCGAAAATACAGGAGAAAAAAGAAACGGTGTCTGCATACACAAATATAGTCTGCATACTGTATAATTTTTCTGTCTATAGACGTAATCTCAGTTCCTATCCAAAGTCGTGGTGGTGATATTGTTCAGACGCTAAATCAGTTCGCCAAAGTAGTTTCTGCGGTGCTCAGATTCTACTGGTTTTACTATTGTATCCTGGGAAACAGACGCTCGGATTAGACCTCAAGCACTTACGGTGAGGGGGTGAATCTGTTTTAAGGAAACTATGTTCGCACGGACCTCGGGTTGAAGATTTATTTATTTTTTACAATTCACATATTTATTTATTTAGCGATTTACTTATTTGCAGTTTAATCTTATGCTTCATAGATTTTTCAGTTTATTTTGTTATATGTGCTTCATATAATTTTACAGTTTATTATCTGTATGTCGAAATTTTTTTTAAAGAAAATTAATTAATTTAATAACATTCGGTTTTGTAGTTGTCCAAACGGTACTTATTTATCTAGTTGATGGCACGACTGTCAGCACATATACGCCACTTTCCATCCTTCTTTGGCACTAGAAGGACAGATACTGTAAACGGACTCATACTCTCCCTTATGAACCATTTCCACAATAGCTCTTCAATTTGCTCCTTCAAAATCTCATTCTCCTTTGGACTAATTCGGTAATGAGGCCAATTTGAAAGGCTAGCTCCAGGTACCAAATCAATCTAGTGCTGAATATTCCTCATATGAGGTAATTCATTCAACAATTCATCGGAAGCTAGGTCTTCAAATTCTGTCAATATTTCTTGCACCTTAGATGGAACACCCTCATCTTCCTTATTTACTGTAAAAGGCTCACTAACTACAACTGGATAAAAGCAATCAGATTCTTTTACAGACTCTGTAATCTCCTTCTTATTGTTTGTAAGGGTAAGAAAACTCTCAGTTCGTTGATGAGTAGACTTCTTCGCCTATTTGAGAGGAACCATAGCGATGTTATGAGTGCCCCATGAAAAGAGTACTATATTATCACGTCCTTTGAGAGTTGATTCCACATCAAATTGTTAGGGACGACCAAATAAGATATGGCAAGCATCTATATCTATGACATCATACATAACTTCGTCCTTATAATGCTTACCAATGGAAACAAGTACTTTGCAAGTTTCAGCAACTTAAACAGAAAGACCTCTCTCTACCCGACCAAGTGAATAAGGTTTAGGATGGCTCTCAATTGATAGTTTCAACAAATTCACCAACTTTTTTCGACACAAAGTTTTCACAACTTTCATTGTCCACAATCACTTCACACACTTTATTCTTGATAGAACAAAGCGAACGGAAGATGCAATGACGTTGTCTCTCTTCCTTAGGTGATAAAAGGATTCGTTGCAGTACCAAAGTGAGCCTTTCTACTCCTTCCTCCACAGCAAACTCTACTCCTGCGTACTCATCTTCCACTTCAGTATCTTTCTTCTCCTCTATTGCCTCCAACTCTATCAAATTGACATGCTTCCTCTCAGGACAGTTATTGGAACGATTTCTAGGCTCTTAGCATCTATAACAAATTTCTCCCGTGGGCTTAGAATACAAATTTGCATTCTGAGATGCACCTCGAGTCTAACCTCTGTTTTTAGATCTACCACTGTTGTCAACATTACTCCTGTTAAGATTGACTGGCCTTGTTGTGGGGAGTTTCCTCTGTCTGAAGGGGCAGATGCTGATGTTTCGATAGGTAAGGGCCTCCTATATTAAACTATTCTCTTAGCAGATTCCATTATCTCCACTTTCATCGCCATGTTGATGGCTTCCTATAATGTTAAAATATTCTGCATCCCAATTTTATCTTGAATGGCCACTTTCAAGTCACTGGTATACCTAGCTACCCTCTGATTTTCAGATTATGACAGATTATTTTGCTCCGATAATCGCATAAATTCATTGGTCTAGTCTGATAATGTATGATTGCCATGTGTGCATCCCAGGTACATACGATATAAAATATGTTCATAGTCTGCAGGTAAAAATCAATCCATCAAAGACTGCTTCATCTTTCTCCAAGTTCGAATCTAACTCTTTCCCTATCTCCGTCGAGTATTCTATAATTGATCCCACCATACTGCTGCCATAGATGTCAAAGGGAATGCCACCATCTTAACCATCTTGTCCTTTGAGACATCTGTAATTTCAAAGAATCTCTCAAACTCTACCAATCAATTCAAGAAGTCATCGATCTTCATGTTTCCAAAGAATAGAGGAATGTCGGCTTTAATCTGATAATCTTCAAAAGTATTTCGATTTTGATGATTAAGATGACCCGGTGGTACTTCGATCTCCTCCTCCGACTCTGATTCATTGTCTTCTACTATACACCTTTTATTATTTTCTCTCTAAACTACGGCTCAGCCATCCGCTCATTATTGATTGCCCGTTGGTCATTCTGCCCATTGTTTTTCAGCACCCCATAGAAGCAATTGACAATTTTTTTCGATCTGAGTAGTGAAATTGTCAATCCGTACGTCAAGTCGTCGATTTGTTGCATCTAAATCTGCTCTAGAAACCAGTACGTCACCTGTTTTATGAATCAAAATATATTGAGACAGGGGAGCCAGCTCTGATGCCACTTGACGCTGCGAAAAAAAGGAATTCAAGCGAAAAACTTGAAATCACGAAATTCGGAATCCACTAAATTAAAGAGAATAAACTTCATGAATTTTATTAATGAATGATAATAAAAAAATAAAGTAATCACTTATTTATAAGGGTTTACATGGAAACGTAGTTTAAAACAACTAAAAGTAATAAAAACAAAGTATAAACAAACTAAGATGTTCATCTCGTCGTTCTCTTTTCAAAATGTTCTTATGGGTTCAAGCCGAAATTAAGATGTTCTATTTCCACTAATATTTTTTTTCAATATGACCAATATGTCCTACATCAAATAATTACATAGACTCCAAAAGTGAAGAAAGCAAGGACTCATTCCTTCTGATTTTCAAGGATACATCATTGGTGCTCGGTGGATCCATCCACGAGATCAACTATTTTTTCAAATCACGAAGGATTTCTTTTCCTTTTTCTTTTTTTCTCTTCTGGATTTTTTTCTTTATTTATCCATGGTTTAGTTTTATGTTTTTTAATGATAACTATTGATTAATGCCTTTATTTAACCGTGTGAACCATAATATAATTTTCAACTTGATTTTGATATTGATATTTTTGTTATAGTACATGTGAAATTCATCTTTAACCTAACTACGCTGAGTTAGTATATACTTAAATTCAAATTTTCATAAATTGGATTGAGTTAGTAATATATGAAAATTCAACTTTGGATAAATTCGAGTGATACATGCAAGATGTTCGTAAAAATGTAAATACAAATATGAGAAAGAAAAAAGTGACATGTTATGTCTTTTTTTCTTTTTTCTTTTTTTCTTTTTTTTAATGTGGAATTCTTTTGGATCAATTAAAAAAGGGTGTCGCTAGAGTAAGATGGAGGCTATCAGCCTCCCTATTGCAATAGCAAAACCCATTAAAAATATGCATACATATTTGTGAATATTCAAATATGAACGTTAAGGAAATTTTAGTTGTGATTAGTTTTAAGAATATTTACCTAATACACTTTTTATTTTATTTATTTATTTATTTATTTATTTAATTTCGCAGTTGGCCTAATTTCCCCTGAATTATAAACATTTTCTCTATAATAAATAATTGATAAAATGTGTATGCTGTGTAATTTCCACATGTAGTTTTTACAAGCCATCTGGTCCAATCCAACATGGGCTGGGCCTCTACTAAATATCGGGTGTATTAGTACTGTTAACGGGTCGGGCTACAGCCCCACGTGATTTATCTTAATATTTGAAGATTTCAAATACCAACTTATCAGCACCAAAACCATAGAAGTGTAGCAAAGAAAAACCAGAAAATCATCAATCTTTAACTAAAGGGAAAATAGCCTTTTTGGTCTCTCTCACACAGATGACACCACAAGGAGAATATATACAATGGGGTTCGGGAGAGAGAGAAACAAGTAGCCTTTTATACAATGAAAGCATTCTACTACCGATGATAATCCAATAATTTTCATTCAGACATCGACTCCTATTCTTTGAGCAACCTGCACCGAAAATGTAATGGATCAACTTAACTATGACATTAGTACAACAATCTTCATTGTAAGAGAGTACTATAGAAAGTCGAACAATAGAGCAATTTGTACACTTCAAATGGTTGAGGAAGTGAAAGAACAGAATAAGGAAAAAGAGAGAGAAACTTATTCTCAAATCATAGGTTCCATTATGATAAATCTCAAAGAAAGACAGACGTGAAGAGGTGAAAAGAACTTCACCTCAAATTCAACGTCGTCGTCTTATTTCAAAATTATAAAACTGCTACTCCAATCATTCTCTTAATCTAGAGTTCCTACTATACAGACATTGCCCCACTGCTATTTACCAAAATTGCACACAAATGATTCTAGTTTATGGAAGGGCCCCAATCGCACACAGATAGATTGATCTAATCCAAAACATTTTGCCCACCTAGTGGGAGGTTGAATATGATATTTTCATTCCTAATCTTATCCATTCTAATATGGCCACACATTCTCGTTTATGCTACATTCACCTTATGGACATTTTGTCCTTCAAAGATTTCCACTCGTGCAAATCACAATTAAAATTCGAGGGACTATTAGCCAACTCAACTACAAGTGACCAAAGTTAAGCTAGTTACTTCCTTAGTGTGGTATCTCCTTTGCTCCCACAAGTTATATAGGTGAAGTGTCCCAAACTAAATGCTATGAGAGCCGCTATTAAGCCTCAGTTTGGATACAACTTTATAAGTGGTTTATAAATTCAGTCAAAGTGAAAAATTAATTTCAAACATTTATAACTACTGATCTTTATTATCCACACATTTTGTGGGACCCACTACTATTCTTGTTTATAGATCATTTATAAATTTGCCAAAACGGAGGCTAAATTGTCAGACTAAGAAAGTATGTTTTGGGTGGAACAATGCAATGTAGGTAAATCATCGTAATTTATTTCATTGTTAGACTATTAGCGCTTTACTTATCTGCATTTAGGAGAAAGACAAAGGAATTGGTGTAGAAAGTCTTCACACAATTCATTATTACCTCTTTGAAGGAGTTAACATCACTTCCCCAAAGCCAAGCATCACAGCCTGCATCTCTGGCACCCCAGACGTCATTTCTCCGATCATCCCCAACATGTACAGCATCCTCGGGTTCTACTCCTAGTAACTCGCAAGCTTTCAAAAATATTGTCGGATTTGGCTTCTCTGCTTCAACCTGTTTTAAATATGAATGGATATCATAAACAAGTATAACGAGAGACGGAGCAAAGTTAGTAAAAAATGAAAACAAACATTGCACTTACTTCTGCCGACACTGCCATTGCGTTGAACCAGTGATCACACTTCAGAGTTCTCAATAAGGGCCTTAATCGTGTATCGAAGTTCGAAACAACAGCCACTTTTACACCTGCTTTCCTAAGGGCCTCGAATACTTTCCCAGCATCTGGATCACAAAGGTGCCAAGCCTGTCGAAGAAACAAGCAATGTATCAAGTGTAAGATAATGAGCATGTCCAGCTATGCTTAGGAGTTTACCTACAAATAAATAAGTTTAGAAACAGATAATATTTTTGTTGATTAAAGTTGAAATAAGTAAATTACTTGTTTTGATGGTATGGAAAGAGTTATTTTCAAAATAAATAACTTTCTGACCTAGAAGTAAGAAAAAAGGTTATACATCCAAACATATTCGATATTACTTGATATAAAGTGTACCATTTCGATCTCACCATACTCAATATGTAAATGCATGAACTAAAATGGCCACAGTAAAGAACTCAGGAAAGGTGAGGTCTGCTTATCATGTCTAGATAACTTAGGGGTTGTTCTCTTTGTTTTTAGTTTTTAGTTTTGAATTCATTTTGGAATTTGTGTTTTGAGTGTCCATTTTGATATTGCTAAGAACGCATTCTTTTTGTCATTTTGAAAAATTGTTTTCAAAAATAAAAAATAAAAAAAAATGAAAAAAGCGTTTACTTTCTAATTTAGAAAAACTGAAAACTAATTTTATATATATATATAAAATATTGATGAGTTTGTTTCACTCAAGAATTTTGCACAATTTTAGCTTGATTATTGCTAGATCTTGTGAGTATAGAACGTTTTTTTATGTGTTTGTCAGTGTTGTTTTGAATATTAGGAAAGGCAATGCAAAAAAAGTTACTAAAGTGGACGAAGAAGCCAAAAATAAAAAATTTGGTGCAGAAAGGAAGCAGCCTAAGCGCTACGAAATGTGAAAAAAATGAAGAATTGAAGCAAATAAGGTAGCACCCATAGCGCCCAGGCGCTGCGGGTGATTTCTCGCTGCACTGACTCCTAGCGCTTAGGCGCTGCGTCGGGGTCGTCTAGGGTGCCTTTTTAGGTCGTTTTGAAGTCAATAAAAACTCTACTTTCCACACAAATGAGAGGCCACCTATAAATACAATTTTCTCCCACTTTTGAAGGGAATTCACACATTAAGAGGCAAAAGAACATAATTGGAGAATCAAAAGAGGAATTCAAATGAGGAAAACATGATGCAATTGAAGGTTTAACGCATTGATTGGAAGATGAAGGAAATCTTGGTATAAGAATTCTAATTTTTCTTTTACATCTTTAATACAAATTCGATGATGTATTCTAAGACAATTGATTGTTTTTCTTCTTTCATTATGAATAGTTAAATTCATTGTTAGGGCGAATAATATAACCAATTGGGATCCTTTACATTTTCTTATTAAGATTTTTAATTTTTACTGTTTTATGTGTTGATTTTATTATGAAGTGAATACATTAAATTAATTGATCAATAATTTAATGATTTTGTGAATCCTTTACGAATAGAGATATGAGTTTAGGATTTAGACCATATAGTAAAATCCGATAAATTGGTATAATGAGTAGAGATACTTATGCCAATTATTGTGGTCATAATTGAATTCCTAAGATGAAGAACTCGTTTAATTAAATGGATCTGCATAGAGATATGGAATTTAATAGTTAAATAGGCTCAATAAGATCTCGAGAGGGATAAATTGAATATAATAGAAAAATTCAACCGAACACTACATTAGAGAAGAATCTTGAGTTAAGATGTAAATGTGATCAATAGATGAAATTATTCTGCCCTAATGTCTTTTCATAATTTGATTTCCAAACCAATCATGTGTACATTCATTAAGTTTCTCGCTTTTAGATAAAAAAAAATCAAATCCTACAAGTTTTTGTTTCAATCAAATAGTGGTTAAAGAAAAATTGAATTAAGTGCTAAAACATAGTCCTTGTGGGATCGACAACCCGAACTATATATATAGTTCTAAGAAAAATAAAAGCGACCCGCCGTTGTGTTTAAGGCATTGAATTCCATGCCGGTAACCTGAGTTCAAATCTCAGCCACCCACCAATTTATTTGAAAATTTTTGTACTTTAATATAAAAAGAAAATTCCTTTGTATTGAATTGCGGTGAAACGGAATCGAACCATGACCTTTAGAAAATTAGTGACTCAACCCAGTTATCACGCTATTGGCAAAACTGGTTGCTTTTTGCGTTTTTGAAGTTTTGGCTTGGTCTAACTGGAAATAGCCAAAACGACTTTTTTGGCGTTTTCCGTTTTCTTTATAAATTTTAAACGTGTTTTTATTGTTTTCGAAAATTAAAAACTGAAAAATGGTCTGAAAATAGCAAAGAGAACGAGCCCTTAGTTTTCGAAGAAACTAATAAGTGGTCAATTTTACAGATTTATAAGAATAAAAGTGCCATCCTTGGCTACCTTTAAAAAAGTGACACTTATAGGTGCCGACTAAACTTACCTTTTCAGTCGTATAATAGTTATACAACTCCTCAAAGAACTGAGAATCCGAACAGCCAGTTGAAGAACTGACAATGTATTGCCAGAATGGTCTCCCATCATTAACGTATCTGCAATTTAATAAGCTGTATCCTCAGTATTGCTATAACATAATTTCTAATAAATAATAATGCCAACAAAGACAGCAACTAAATATGGTTCCATTAAATTTAAGTCAGCTACTTAATATTATTTAGCCATTCCATTTGGTTCATTGCTAGTTCTACACGAAAATTACCATTAACAATCATGGGACAGAAAAAACTATATTATCGACGTTGTAGATCAATTACAAGGACCAACATTAATAAGATGTATGGGAATTATACACATTTGGATAAGAAATTCTATATAGAAAGCATCCATTGTTTAGCTGAAACGAAATGGCTTGAGAGAGAGAAATAAAATAGCAGTTATTACAGTTTCATACAGGTTTTGTTAAATCATGGGATTGAATATTTGACTATGGTAACAGCTAAACGATAGCAACTGTATAATTTAATTATGCAAGGTGGGATAAACTTAAGACAGTTAAAAATTTTATAACTGAAAGTTTAAAGCACAAAGAATGATACAATATCAACAAATATAAATTTCATTGATCTTTTCAAAAGCAGTATAATGTAATATGAATTATGTGAAAACGTATATGCAAGTACAATAACATTATCGATAAAGAATAAAATGTACTATGCATTTTCTCCGGATTTTCCTGAATCGGGTAATAAAATGGGATGTTTTATTTTAATCATATTAAAAAGTCATATATTAGACATAAACCTAAAAAAGGAATTCTGCAGATTGAATGAACCAGTCCCTTGAACCTCCATTTGACTTCCCCAACAAAGAAAAACGAAATAAGAAAGCAGATAAAGACCTAATAGGAAACTATCTCGCACGACATAACTACTGTTTCTAAAATTCGAGAGTTTTCCAGGCAAATGGCATCAGAAGAATATTGATTATTTCATTGTCGATGAAAAGCAATTATCTAAAACCTGCACGCTATCAGTTTCACTTTTAGTTAATATATTAAGATCAACTTTAACTTCAAAGAAACACGTAGTGAGCATTGAGGCAGAAGTGGAAACAAGTTGACTTCAGAATAACAACAATAAGACCGAAACAGAATCTGACTAATGGCTGTTTTTATAACATCCTAATCATTCAATGTTTGTTTTATCTAACGTAAATGAGCACAAGCAGCCATAAAATGAACAACAACAGAATATTCACCTGAGGCGAGATCGACCCCAAGGCTGCTCATATGCCCTTCTGTATCTATTTAATATCTCATCTTCGGAATACTCCACTCCATATTTTTCACCAATTTGCCGATAAATCTTCATCAAAAGAATAAGCAAGCATGGGAAAACACCTTGAGATCCAACAGAGACAATGTACAGGAGAAGTCGAAAAACCCAACAGAAAAGAAATTTAAATGCATAGAACACTCAGATAATTTGCTAATGAAAAGGAAACTAAGGAGACTTAAGAAGAGGAACACCCGTCAGATAAATAGGCACAACGCGTGGGAAATGTTATGTTTACATGTGTATTTTTAGTTTTGTATCCGAAAAGCAAGAGTTCTTACATAAAACAACAAATAAACAAAAAGAAGAAGAAACAAACATAATGATTCTCAGCATAATGAATAATTAAATGTAAAGCAACATCCAAAGAATAATTTTCCGCATTATTAGAAAGATAATCCCCAACCACCCCCAAAAAAAACCCAAAAAGAAAAAGATAAAGGAAGATCCTTTGAATAGTTCAAGAAAAGTGAAGCAAATGCAGCCACCCCACTCCGAACCTAAAAAAGGGAAGATCTTTGGAATAGTTGAAAAGGGAGGAAAAGAAAAAGTGGAAACATAGTCTCAAAAAATCCCAAACCAGTTGTTTTAAAAAATCAAATTATCAAGGAGCGAGTGAAATTTAGAAGTTGTGTTCTGTATCAAAAACAAAAAACCGAACCAAAAACAAAACACTGGTTCAAATCTTGGAACCTAAATGTTACTAATTTCTTCCAATTCTACACTTGTGTAGTAACACATACAGACACACATAAGAAAATATTAAGCATGAACCAGCAAATAACCAAAAATGTAAACAGTTAAAGAATTAAAAATTGGGTCATTTTGCATCAAAAAATAAAATTTAGGCATGACTCTGGCATTCAGAAGGCTATTTTTTTTCCATGTATAACATGCATGAGAATATAACATATAAATATCAACAAATAAAAAAATATATAGATAATCAGAAAAGGAAAGAAAGTGGATTCACGTAGTAATAAATTAACAACAACAAAAAAAAAACACTTAATTAATAGCTTATAATTACTATAGAAAGAAATCATATAATCCAAATAGAAAATTGTGTGTGTGTCGAAGAAGCAGAGAACCTGAGCCATGGGCTGGGAAGGAACAACAAGAGTGCCCACTGCATCAACAAGAAGGGCCTTATGGGTCAAGCCACCATACAGATTCCTCCGATAATCTTCATATTCCCTCACCAACCCGAATAATTTAGACTCGTTTTCCTCCTCGGGAACAACAGCCGCCGCAGCCCAGGTCGAGGAAAACGAAGATGATGATCCAAAATTCCTAAACTGATCGACCCGGAAACACTTTCCGGATCCACATGCAAATGCAAAACTCGGCATTTTGGAGAAAGTAGGAGTAATTAACAGTTTACTGATCTTGGTTCTCGTTAAAGCCATTTTTTTCAAATAATTGAAAAATCCACGTTCTTATGTGAAATTTCCAGAAATTATGTGAAAAAACAACATTTTTTATGTCAAGATTTTTGCATTTGTGTGAGTGCTATGGAATTTGCTGCGGTGGCTACTGGGGGGAAGGAGCCAAAAGCGATGAAGGTGAAGTTGGAGAAATAATGTGGCAGTGGATTATTATGAAAATGCCCTTCTGGGTAGCATGTTATTACCGTTTTACCCCTAATAGGGACTTATTATTAAAGAAATTTTTGTTGGCAGCCCTTTAACTTATACATCGGCTTATATTGATCACTTAAGGTCGGTTTTATACTAATCACTTAACTTCAATTTGTCTCGTTTCAATCAATCAACTACACTTTCTTTCAATTCACCATTCTGTCAATAATCAAGACCAAAATTAGAAAGAAGCTATTTGTACAGCATTTTTGGTGTTGTACATGTACAGCCTCCTCACTGTGTTGTGCCCCCTCCCCCCTGATGTGAGGGGGGCTATAAGCCATACTGTGTGTCAAGATGTGCACACAGCAAGGCTCCCAAAACTAATGGTCGACCACCCATGATCGATGGAGGGCACGTCCTTGCACTTCCTTACTTTTGACTTTGTATTAACCATTTTTGCTAGTAAAGAAAATTTGATAAATGATGATAACCTTAAAATTGTGCAGGTGAGATCTCCTTTCAAATTTATGAGCTACATCAGTTTCATGTCTAACCCCTGCTTATTTTAGTTAAAAAATTTATTAAAATCTAAGTTAAAATTAATAATTAATTTTGACCACAAGTTTCATAAAATTCACAACTTTTCAACCACATATTCCATTAAATTTTAATAAAATATACAAAAAAATATGATTTTTATTTAAAAGAATAGGGACATGCAGAATAAGTGGTCAAATGGAAACAAATGCATGAGATGGAGATTAAATTGTAACAAATGGAAGACGACTCTAACTTGCAAAAGTTGGGTGGTCTCTTATGAAATTTACTCTCAATTATTAAATGTATTATTTAAGGTATTAATATACCAAACAAACAGATGATTATTAAAATGTGGGGTTTTTAACTAATGCAATTAGAACTCTCATAGAATTGAAAGGGATAGGGGACGGCATTCAAACGATAACTCAATAAAGTTAAACTAAAAAATTTAAGAAAATTAGTAATTTAAAATAATTATAATTAAGCTTTGTGATAATCACGTGTAACTATTGCTCCATTTAATCATTATGCAACAAATGTGAGTTCGTGAAATATTGATTACGATAGCTTAAGAAATTACCAAAAGTATATTAAAAAATAAAAATTAACTTACAAGAGCGAAATCTTATTGTTTCATTAGCTTGATTTCGAGCCTCTATGAAAAAATATTTCAAAATATATGGTTTTACATACACAAATAATTTGATTATTCATCCAATTTAAATATGCATTCTATTTATCTCCCTTAAATTTTCAAATTACACATCATATCGAATTCTATTTATACTTTTGACCAAAATTTCAAATCGTATGTCAATATTGTTTGTGCGTGCATGGAATATGCAAAAATATGTGATCGATTATACTAGAAAACAGTAATTAAAAAAAAAAAAAAAAAAAAAAAAAAAAAAAAAAAAAAACATTGAGAAATGTGAAAGCCAATTCAACCAAAGCCCATATCTATGGGGCTAAGGTTAGGCAACCCACATACTAATCTGGGAAGAGTTCATAAATCTGGTGTTAACTATGCCCAATTCAAAATTCAGGTTACAAGTTTCTTTAGTGCAAAAATCAGGTTTTAGCTAATTAATTAAAAATATTTATTAAATGATGATAATAAAGCCACAGTTATACTATTCATGGTCACATATTCAAAATTATAAGTCACAAATTTTATTTATCGATCACATATCATCAAATTAATTGGTTACAGATTTTTTCGAGGTCACAAATCACAATTTTTATAAGTCACAGATTATGTCGAGGTCACAGATTAAAAAATTATAGGTCACAAATCCAAAAAATTATAGTCACAGGTCACATATTTTCAAATTTGATAGTCACATATCACTTTTTTTAATCACAGATGATCGAATTTTAAGATCACAGGTTAAATAGGCGATCACCACCAACTCCACTGCCACCATCGTCACCCCGTCGCCACCGCCAACACCAACATCAACAAAATCAACGCATTCAGATCCACCACCGCCACCACCAAACACACAAAAAAAACCACCATCTCCGTCTGAACCACACCATCGTCGCCTCCAGATCCACCACCAACACTGTCGCCGCCAAAAATACGAACATCACCACATTGCACCACACCACAACACCCACATAGCACCAACAAAATCGGCTTCCACAAACATAGAACTCACATCACATGCCACCAACACAAACCGGCTTCCACTCACACTGCACCAACAAACCGGCTTTTACACACTTCTGCGCATAGAGCCACTATTGCATCGCCGTCGACTAGCTGGTCGCACAGCGCAGCCACGATGACACCGCTGTGAGCGCTGACTCCGCGACGCTCAGATCGAAGAGTGACGACTTCGACCGACCAAATTGCTCACATCACCGGCTGCGAGGGTGCCGCACCGCAACAACTTTGTCGTCGCTCGACTCTCACCTCTCCGGCGACGATACTTATCAACGATGATGGAGGTTTGAGGGAGAGAGAGGATAGAGAGGGAGAGGGAGACGGTGGAGAGAGAGAGAGAGACAAAGGGAGGCGAGAAGTGAAAATTTTGAGGATATGAAAAAATGATTAGGGTTTGTTTGGATTAGGTGGTGTGGGTATAAATAATACCTGATTTCTGATTAAAAAACATTTGCACTTGATTTTTGCACTCATATCTTTAAATACCGGGAATCCGGTAATTTCCTCTACTAATCTCCACTGTAACTGAAATCGAAACCAAATTAGAGTACGCCGATAGATCATCATTGCAATACCAAGAACTGACCTTCCACTCTCATTCATATATATGGACACCAAGTTTGAAACGTAGCATCAAAGATTTTAAAACAAATGACAAGTATTGCCAATCCTAGAGACCGAAAGGGAAAGCCGCATTTTTATTTTTATTTTGTTAAGAGAGACAAAATTTCGCCCTAATCAGATAGACATGCTTCCATCTTGCCCTCTAAAACACACTTTTAGTGAACAACACTTCTCTTAAATAACATTATTACTGAATAAAAAATAGAGTGGTTGATTTCTGAATGGTGAATTGTACACGCTAAATGCAAGTCAAATATTATTTGTACCATGTAATTGATGAGATAAAGACATAATAGTAAAAAGTTACTTGAATTAAAATTGATAATAAGCAAATTAGTTACAAGTAAAACTTACACATGCATTCACTTTAAGTAAATAAGTTGTTTTATGAAATGACTTTTTTATTAATCAAAGATAAAAATAAACAAGTTAAGTAGTATATATGATAGTTTTTCTTGTATACAGAATAGAACCCTCAATTGGTGGGATTAACAAGTCCAACCTTTTTTTGTCAGATTGAATTTTTAGGGTTTCTGCAAATAGCAATGGATAGCAAAACCGATGATGCAGACGTTTCTATATGGAGTTTACATCCAGAGTTACAAATAGACCCCCAAGAATTACCCTTAATTATATAAACCTTTCTTTATGGAGTATGTTAGACATTATGTTGTCAAACGACCCCCGGGCGATGATGAGAACCAATTTTATCAGTCGACATAAATGACTGAACGATAATTCAACATCGAATAATGGATGAACCGACCAAACGTTGCCTTACCTATTGGACGGCTAATATTCTTTGTGGCTTGTTGATTTCTTCCATTGGAAGTTAACCCTAGTCGAGCCTACTTACCATATCCCGACTTACCTTATGTTGGCCACTTGACTTACTATATATATTGGTGTCTTTGCCTTTGTTGGTACCGTCCATAAGTTGAACCCGTCCAACCGTGTCCAAGCCGTGAGAAACTGCCGAGTTCTTCTGCCTTCATCTCCTTCGTGATTTCTTCTCCACCCAAACTGCTTGAGTCTTTGTGAACCTTACCTGAGTGGTATCCATCCTAAGTGTGTGGATTGAATCAATTAAGCAAGAGAAGAAAGCAACCATAGGAAGAAGAGTAGCCGGCGGTATGGGTTCTTCCAGTTTGATGTTGAAACTCGGTTTTTAATGGTTAACTGAGCCCGGGAATCAGCGTGAGCAGGAAGAGGAAGGTCCTAACATCTGGTATCAGAGCTTGGGTGGCAAAAAACGGCTCAAAATCGGCTGATTTTCGCATCATCAACTTAGAATCCGAATCTGAAATTTTGCAATTACTCACAAACCAGAGCTCGGTTGGACAAACGGAGGCCATACCCATCATCAGCAGGCCGAGGCGCTCCGGGACAGGCGGCGCGTGGCGGCGGCGACGGCGCGTGGGCGGTTTTCCGACGACGCAGTCTTCAGGTAACTTGTTTGTTTCGATCTCCTGAACGCGTTGATATACTTTGTTTTGTGTTTCAGGTTACACAGAAAAAGTTGGACGATTTTGCCCTTTGGTACGACGCCGATTGAAATCCAACAGCAGGCTCGTTTTTCTCCACTTTACGGACTCAGATAGGTCCGCTCTGGTAAATTGGCTTAATCCATTTAAATTCAGCAATAGCAAGATCATCGTGTGGGGTGATCGTTAGGTTTTGGGGTTGCCGTGAAGGGGTAACCATTGCATGTGCTAGAATTAGGATTACTTGCGTTAATTAAGTATTTGTTCTTTTAATTTAAAGTGCTTGTTATTCCTTGGTGGACGTAGCGTTTAGGTTCATTATTACCTTTGCTAATAATTAACAAGACATTACCTTATCACGTTTCCCAATACTACTTCGTGTGGTTTAATTAGGGTGTTAACCAATGACAACACATAATTTTGATTTGGGAATTTTTAACGGTAAAGGGGACTTCTCTATCTGGCAACAAAAGATGAGAGGCATACTAGTCCAACAAAAGGTGTCAAAAGCCATCGAAGGCAATTTTGCACCTGATATCTCAAAAGAACAAAAAGAGGAAGCCGATGAGCTTGCCTATACCTCAATAATATTACACTTGTCTGACGCCGTCTTAAGAAAAGTGGGAAAACTAAAAACCACCAAAGAACTTTGGAAAAGACTAGA